CTGCGGTGATGTACTTGGTGAAGATGTCCGAATGGTTGTTGTCGGTTCTGATCTTGAGCACGCTGATTATGCCTTCCTGCACAAGGCGTTGAATGAAGAGGTACTTCAGCTCGATGTGTTTGGCTCTCTTTGATGATCCCTGTCGGATCGCGATGCTCTTTGCGCTGGAGCTGTCTGTGTGTATGCGTATGTTGATTTTGCGTGTTGTGAATGCTTCGCTCAGGAAGTTGCGGATGTGCAGTGCCTCTGTTGCTGCTGTTCCTATGGCGTAAAGTTCTGATTCTGCTGATGACAGTGCTACTGTTGCCTGCGTTCTGCTTCCAAAATGGATGTTGGCTCCAAGGAAATGGATTGAGAATCCCGTTGTGCTCTTGCGTGTGGTTTCGCATGATGCCCAGTTGGCATCTGTGTAGACTTCGATGTCCAGGGGCATCTTGTCGTGGTTGTTGAGCCTGATTGTTGGTCGTAGTGAATGCTTCCATGCTGCTGTACCTTTGAGGTATCTGATGAGGTGTTTGAGCTTCTTGTCGTCGTTTGCTGTTGGTTGCTGCAGTGCCCGTGCTAACTCTTTTGTTGCAAAGCTGATGTCTGGTCGTGTGTAGGAAAGCCATTGAATCTTTCCGACCAGTCGCCTGTATCGTGCATGTTGTTGTTGGTCGAGTGGTGCCTCGTCCTCGATGTTGATTGTCTTCAATGCTGTTGTGCCAGGTGTTGCTGCTGGGTTGCAGTTGACCATGTTGGACTCCTCCAGGATGTTGTTGATGTAGTCCTCGGATAGAGCGATGTCGATGCTGTCGCCGTTGTGTGTGATTTTTCTGCCAAGAAACGACACCGTTGATCCTGGTGTTAGCACTCCTGTTGGTCTCAGGAGGAGATGCTGTTGTAGGTCGCTGAAGAGCTTGTCGATGATCTGTTGATCGCCGAGGAAGAGAAGGTCGTCGACGTAGATCATGATGTAGGCTGTTCCTTCCTTGTTGCGGTACACGTTGGGCTCGGACTTGAGTCGTGTCATTCCCATTGTTGTGGTGAGGAGTGTTGCTAGGTGATCCTGCCATGCTTTTGGTGAGGATCTAAGTCCGTAGAGTGCTTTGTTGATCTTCCAGAGAATGTGCCTGTTGTTCTCATCGTAGAACTCTGGTGGTGGTCTCATGATGATGTCTTCCTTTGCTGCTGCTGCGTGTAGGAATGCTGCTGATATGTCGCCGAGTCGTGTTGACCACCCTTTTCCGAGTGCTAGAGTGAGCAAGGTGCGAAGAGTGCAGAAGAGTGGTGTTGATGCGTAGACGTCGTCCAAGTCGTTGATGCTCTCTGTGTATCCTTTGGCGACGATTCTTGCTCTGACTTCGTCGCCTTTTGTTCGTAGAACCCATCGGGACTCTACAATGTTGCTGCGTTGCTCTGGTGTGAGTGTTGACTCATCAATTTCAGTATAGACGTTCTGTTGCTTCATTTGTCGGATCTCCTTCTTCATGCCGTCGATCACTTTCTTTCGGTCGAGACCTTCAGTGTTGGTCACTATTGGTTCCAGAAGGATCTTTTCATTTTGCACTTCTTGTTGGTCCTCGCAGGATGCTGTTGTTATGGTGTCGCCTGATTTGGTTGCGACTGTGACCGCGTTGATCCTCATCCTGTGTGTTGGCTGCTCACTGCTTGTTGGTCGTTCTATCTGCTGCGTTGACTCTGACGTTCGTTGTTGTTTGCTTGTGCTTCCTTCTTCGACTGCGTCAGACCTCTCCCGTGTTGGTGTGGGAAGAGGTGTTCTCTTGATGTGCGTGGGAGAAGTTGTCATTGGAGCTGTTGCGCTTGGTCTGCTGTCGTTGCGAGCCGCCTTTGCTGGTGTTTCTGTTCCGGTGTTGGCTGCTCGCTTGTTGTCTCCAGTCTGTGTTGCTGCGCTTGTTCCTGGTTGTCGCTGCTGCTTTATTGGTACTGGAATGGCGATTGTGGTGCTTGTGTTCAGCTGTGGTGTTGCTGACTTTGGTGTCCGCCATGGTGGTGCGTTGACCACGTCCAGTAGCTGCTTGTTGTACTTGTGTGGTTCGATCTGTCGTCTGATTGTTCTTGCTCTGACCACCTGTTGGTGAATGCCTATCAGCGACTCGCCTGTTGTTGAGTCCTTGCCGAGCCAGACGCCGTCGAAGAACCGTGGTTCGAGCTTTGGCAGTTGTCTGGTTGTTGACACCATGTGTTGCAATGTTTCTCCGAATTCGCAGATGGGTGTGTGGCTTTCTCTGCCCCATCTGTTGAAGTGGCTGGTGTTGCCGTTGCTGTGGATTGCATACCTGTTGAGTAGATACGCGCTGTGCCTTACGATCCATAGCATCAGTAAATCCTTGGCGTTGACCATCCGGCCGTAGTTTTGTTGGATCTGTGCTCTGATTGTTCTGATCTGCCCAACGAGTGTTCTGTGTGAGCGCTCGATTGTTCCTTGTGACTTGGGGTTGTATGCTGGAGAGTGTCGCACTGCTATATTGTTGCCTGCTTTGTTGGCCACTGCTTGAAGCAGCGCGATCAGGTAGTCTTCCTGATCGGACTGTAGAACTGCTTGTGTTCTACCGCACTCCATCAGGAATGCCAGCGGTTGGTTTGTTGCGTATTCGAAGAGCTGTTGCTTGTCAGTGACCAGAGTTGCGCTGATCATCCCTGTCTGTATGTCTATTGCTGTGAGGATTGGTGTTGTGTGTTGGTCGTCGATTCCTTTCATGTAGCAGAAATCGATCTGTATCACTGGCTGCTTGCTTGTTTGCTTCTTGCGGCTGTCTGCTTTCCCTCTGCTTTTGACGCAGATTGGGCACCAGTCGCGGTACGGGAGATATGTTAGGTTGTGTTCCCGAATCTGTTGCTGTGTTGGTTGCTCAGGTGCCTTGGCTCCTTTGGCTCTTTGTGCTTCTTGTTGTTCGTCATCATCGCTGTCAAGTTGCTCCTTGTACTCCACCTTCTCCTCGAAGTTGGTTGAGCCCGTCCATTCGGCGTTGGTTTGCTGATTTCCGGCTGCTTGCCAGTTGTCTTCGTGCACAGTTGGGCCTGTTTGATCTTGCTTTGTTGGGATGATCCGTGTTCGTCGTGCTGGGAGTAAGTTGTCGACGTTCGGTCCGTCTGTTGTGCGTTCTGGCACGTATAGTGTTGTGCGCGGTTGGATGTGAACCCGTTTCCAGAGGTGTCCCTCTCGGATCCAGTAGTCGCTTGTTGGTTGTACATCTGCTGGATGTGGGATGTATCCCTGGCCAATTGGCCATGCTGTTGTTGCATTTGCCGCCGATTGCTGCGCCGCCGGCTGTTGCTGGTTGTTGCGCTGGCTTCTTTGTTGTGTGTCTGGTGATTGGCTTGCTTGACACACTTGGTGCGTTGCTTTCTTGAGTCGCCTCGGCGGATGACCCCCTGTTGACTTTGAACCATGTTTCTCCTGCCCAGGCTGTTCCTGGAAGGACCCTGTGCTGCTCTTTGCTTGTGAGATTCTTGTATGCATCTGTGATGTCTTGATGTTGTCCATCTGCTCTCTTGACAATTGTGCGTCGAAAGTTGTCGAGTTGCTCTGTTGGAACCGGGCATCCGGTGTTGTCAGGTGTGAAGAGCGCCTTGCGAAGACGCTTGTGGACTCTTACGAGGAATCCTTCGTTGTTGAACATCCACAGGTCTGTGTTGCCGCCTCTCATCGGCTCTGCTCCTGTTGGAGTCAGTGTTGTTGGTGCTATAACTGCTATGCGTCCTGTTGGTGTGTCTTTGATCTCAAGTTGTGTACCTGCTGGTAGTGGGTCGATGACCACGTTGAGGTAGAAGAGTCCGTGAAGACGTTGAAGATGACTGTCGAAACCTTTGTCGTGGTGTATCGTCGGGTTCTCGTTGAAGTTGACGTTGAAGCCCTGGTCGATGAGCCGTGTCACCGATACGATTGGTTGTTCCACGTCGCACACGTAGAAGGGGATGACGATGGGTTGATTCTGCTCGTTGACGAACTTGATCCACCTGTACCCGTAGACGTTGATATCCTGGTTGGTGACTGTTCGAAGCCGTGGTCCGCTGTGTTGGTCAAGATGTTGAAGGGGAAACTCCTGTCCAAACCAGTGTGGGCAAACGTGTGTTGCTGCACCGCTGTTGTTAAGATACTTTGAATCACATGCTGTACACGCAGCAACCGCCATTGCCTTTCTGGGCTCGACAGGGCCCTTGAGCTAGACCGATATCAACAGCTCATGGACAAAGAGTGCCGCTGCTGACCGACTTGAGGATCAACAGAGTTGACAACACGACTTGCGCTTTTACAAGAGAGAGAGAGAGAGAAAGAGCGAGACACAGAGAGTGAGAAAGAGAGAGAGAAAGAGAGACAGAGAGAGAGACAGAGAGAGAGAGAAAGAGAAAGAGAAAGAGAGACAGAGAGAGACAGAGAGAGGGAGATTGAGGAGAGAGAGAGGCTTGGGGGCACGGGGAGGATGGGGAGCAGGGGGAGGGAGAGAGGACGACAGAACACACGACAAAGACAAGGGAGAGAGGAAGAAGGAGAAAAGGGAGAGGACAATGTCGGCGGACTGAGCCGGAGGCTCTAAAGTATATATATATATATGTGGTATGTACAACATATTCTTGTAGGATATGTGCGTTTAAGTTGCACGGTTCTCGATGTCAAGCAACCCTCCATCGAAGGAACCCATTTGTGCTACCCGGACACGCTGCCTTGGCTAAAGTTGTGTCCTTCTTCAAGCCCAATGTAAGTCCGGCCACGATGAACATCAGCCAGCATATGTGCTTGCACGTGCTCCCCAGAGCTAAACCGCAGGTGCAACACTCGCAAGCGCACAGGACAGGAGCATAACACAAAGTCAGAACGCGCAAACAAAGATCATGTCTTTCAAATGTCAACGCATGTCGTCAAACAAGGAAAAACATGCTTTGGATGGCGTTGGGTGCACCTTGTCACACTCACGATAATCAAAGATGGGAAACTGTCCATTTTTGGGCGTCCCCGACATGGGAGACCCGTGGGGCCAGCGACACCCCGGGAATCCCTCCTGAGAAGCAGGTGGCCAGGGCAAAGCGGAGGCTCTTTAGGGCCTGGAGCTCCACCTCTGGACAGCGGCGCTAAAGGATCGCAAAAATCTGGAGACATCGAAATTTGGTGCATCTTACCTCTGTATCTACCCACGGGGATGCATGAGTTGAGTAGCCATTTCCGGAGAGAGCATCGGCAGTCTGCATCGTTCCACCCAGCATCTTCCCCATCCTGTCATACTGTTAACTGTTACGGCTGTTCATGTTGAATGCAATGCAGCGACCCTTCTTCTTTTTGACAATGGTGAGGAACGAGTAGCAACCGAAGCCAAGTCAAACCGATCGAAGTGGCTGCTTTGCTAATTTCATCTCAACCCACAGCACTCTAAAGCCATCCTCAGACTTGAGCAGAATCGACTCAGCAAAACAAAGGGCGCCAGAACCAACAGGGGAGTGCCTTTGTTGGAGTGTAACCTTTTAAGATTGTGTTCAAGGGCACACCAAACGGAAATCTAGCTGGACTTCCGTCATATGATCTCTTTCCAGGGATCCGCCTGTACGGAAAATCGCCAGACAAACGGAGAATCGGGGTGGTTGCAAAGAATCAGAGAGAGTGTGGCATCCACCACTCAGAAGACACATTGGGATACGCAGACATGACAAAGCCGCTGGGCAACAAAGTCCGAGGCGCGCCGCTCTCAGGCTTGTGCGGCGCTGCTCGCATCAGCACCTGTGCGATGCTTGATGGGAACGCCTGAACGAAACCTGTGAATTATTAGCTTCCTTTGAACACCAACCAAAATGGGTCCAGCAGGTACTTGAGACACCCCTAAATCCGTGCGTTCCAAAGGCTTCGAAACAAGCTGAAACACAGACGAAAACAAAGCATCCAAACCCACTGCTTGCGTTCGGCTATCCAAGAACCCCCTTCCTGGACGATGTTGGATCGAAAAAGTCCAAGCACGCCTAAAACAATGCTTTATCTAAATTCCTTATTTGGCAATATGCGGAGTGACGCTTTTTGTGCCTGGCAAAGGGGGCACCCCATTTGGACAGGGACAGGAGCAGAATAGCGTGGGCGCCATGAGACCCCATTAACAAATGCCTATAGAATATGTATCATTGGGGCGGGCTGTAACGAAGAAAGCAAAAGGTCCAATTTGGCCTTAGCAAAAATAATGCAACCGTGGCCGCAATAGACAGCTCTGCCAATGGAAGCAGAATACTACACAAAAATGTGAGCAACAGTGAGCTCAGCTCTGTCAAGGTGGCCGGTACACCCAAGACATATGATAGTAAAAACCTTCACACAGAGAACAAGGAGGGAAAAAGGAAGAGGGAGGACCTCGGCATGTAGGAGTGCTCAGCGGTGAAGCACAACTTTTGGCATGGGGGTTGGTGTCTACCGTGCATGTTTGAGATGTTTCATCAACACACATCACCAAATGTTTAACCGCTCACTTCCAAGTAACACCTCAAACGGCTTGATGGACCAATGCCTTTCGCTTCAACTATCGTGCAGGGACCCGCCCTCCCCCGCACAGAAACGATCAGCAATCCACATCTGCACCTCGCGGAAGCAATCCAAAGCTCGATGCCAGTCGCCCTTGGTTGCCAGCAGCACAGCTTTGCCGAAGCGCGCGCGGGGCGAGGACTTATTGTACTTCCTCAGCTTGGCGCACGGGAGAAAACCAGTCGACGCTTGAGCTCAGTGAAGCAAAGTGCTTCCGTCAGGTTTACCCGAATGGACTATGCTCTTGGCTCGGGGGCGGTATGTTCTGTGTTGCTTTTGTTGATATGTTTTTTTTTTTTTTTTTTTTTTATAGGTTTAATGTAAATACAATTATGTGTATATATATATATATATATTCTACATATATATATATATATATATGGATATCTGGATCTCTCTGGATCTCTGGACCTCTGGATCTCTGGCTCTCTGGATCTCTGGATGTCTGGATGTCTGCATGTCTGGATGTTTGGATGTCTGGATCTCTGGATGTCTGGATCTCTGAAGTGTCTGGATCTCTGGGTGGATCTCTGGCTCTCTAAATCTCTGGATGTCTGGTTTTTTCTGGATCTCTGCATCTCTGGTCTGCCCCTCACCCCCCTTCCTCTCCCCTTCCCCCCTTCCTCTCCCCTTCCCCCCTTCCTCTCCCCCTCCCCCCCTCTCCCCTGCCCCACCCCCCTTTCCCCCCACCCCCCTTTTCCCCCACCCCCCTTTCCCCCCCTTTCCCCCCACCCCCCTTTCCCCCCACCCCCTTTCCCCCCCCCCCCCCCCCCCACCCCCCTTTCCCCCCGCCCCCCACCCCCCTCCCCCCGCCCCCCCCCCCTTTTCCCCCCACCCCTCTCCCCTGCCTTCCCCCCTGCGTGTCTGTCTCTGTCTCTTTGTGTCTGTCTGTGTCTGTCTACGTATCTGAGTCTGTCTTCGTGTCCGCGAACGGGTCTGTGCATGCGTGCCTGTCAGTCTCGGTTGGTGTGTCCTTCTATGTCTACGTTATGTTTCTGTCATGTGTACGTGTGTCAGCGTGTGTCCGTCTCTGTCTCCAATCTGCTTAGGCCACAGACAGCCCGTGACTCGCGCTAGTGACGAGCTGCTAGTGAAAAACCTTCTGAACCCTATGGGGGCGGCGGAACCAGGCCGCAGGCCATTAAATAAACAACAATGCCTGTGGAAGAGCGGAGGGCATCAAGCTGTTGAGTGGCAAATGGAGCACTGGAAAGTGTTCAGAAGCCAACATCTTGCCCTCTGGGCTGCTTTGAACATCTTTGGGGAAGTCGCCAAGCACTTACGATGTTCCCAATACGTCGCCAAATGCCAAGCTCCAACACACACACACACACACACACACACACACACACACACACACATTTGCCGTACGGCGACTGTTGACTTTCGACGATTGCGTGAACCCTCACTATTCCAGATCTCTGAAAAGCCTATGCTCTCAGCAAGTGGGCTGATGCTTCCACGGTGACTGGACTCTGGGGTCACGAAGCAACTCGCCCAATCGGAGGGCATCAAAGCCTAGCTGTGCCTTGATCCAACAAATGATAAGAACTAAACTGAAACCAGCGACATCTGTTTCAACCGAACCGAGCACAACGGACACAGATGAAAAGCCGCGACCCTCAGCCAAACCATCTTGGCCAAGCCGCAGCGCTGCGGTAAACAGCATCTCCGCTCGCTTCAGGTCGCTCTCTTTGCGCGACTCATCACTCTCCGCCAGCACGTAGGTGGCCAGAGCATTGAAGGCACGGAGTAGAATGGCGTCGAAACCTCGCATCTGTCAAACTGCTAAAGACTTGTCAGGGAATTTTGGGCCATCCCAACCTTTCGCATTGCGCAAAAAGGAAGACACCATTCAGGTATCTTCAAGCTCAACCCCTGTGATGAGGGCATGATACAGTCTGATGAACCCAGGAAGTGCATGAGCCACGGGTCCTATTTGCGGTGATGGCCATTGAAGATTGTCCGTATCTCACGCGAGGGCCTCTCAAATGTCAAGCCAGCGATCGGCCGAAACGTGCGCTTGGATCGCAAGGGTACCAGAGATCGCTTCTGAGCTTAGTGTGCCTAACAAATGGAGACCCCCAGAATGGGGCCGGTTTCCTTTAAGACGCCAAAAAGGGAACCTACTCAAAACAGACAAACCCATTTCGCCAAGTGAACTGATGTGCTTCTTGCCGAACTTGGCATCCTCCCTCCGGAGCTGGGCAGTGGACTGTGCCAGCCAAGCCTGAGCTGAGCACCAGCTGCTGAGCCCGCAAAGACCAACTGCAAAGAGGATCCAACCGGAACAAACAACTCCCAGGTTGTCCCCAACAACCCATCCGAGAAAAAGAAAGACATCAGGGCCATCTTTGTCCACAACCCACCGCTTGGACTCTCATTTTATCACGCTTTCACCATGACCTGCCTTGTCCAGCACCATGATTTGTATCTACACGGTGCCCATGAAGGGAACTGGCACTTGGTAACCCCAGGTACAAAGACGATGGGATTGTGCGCTGACTTGGAGACATGGGGTGGGATGGATGTTTCTTCGTGCTCTGCGTTGTGCTCTGCGTTGTGCTCTGCGTTGTGCTCTGCGTTGTGCTCTGCGTTGTGCTCTGCGTTGTGCTCTGCGTTGTGCTCTGCGTTGTGCTCTGCTTGGTGCTCTGCTTGGTGCTCTGTGGTATGCTTTTGCTTCGGGCTCTAAGTCGCGCTCTACTTCAGGCTCTGCTGGGCGCTGTGCTTTCAGCTCTGCTCTGATCAAGTGAATGATCTCGAGCTAGGCCGGGACAAGCGATACAAGTGTTCACCACCCCACACAGCCATGCCCTGGACAGCGCCAACAAACCAGATGGTAATGGTTCCCACGGGTGCTCCACAGACCCCTTCAAGCAGAAAACTTTTGTACGTAAGCAGTCGACATGAGGCATCAAAAAACCCATCGGAAGGATGGCCATGCTCAAGTGGAACTCTCTGCAACACTTGAAAACTAGTACAAACACATTTGTGTCACCCCGGGCACCACCCCCTAACCAGTCCGTCAGCTTGCACTCTGGCGCAAAGCAAGGCATGACAACTCCCAGCCTCCTTCAAAAGCTTGTGGCTCTCTTCCAGATCAATTGTCAACTGGCATCCGATTCGCAGAACTGAAAGGGTTTTGCTCTTGCCCTGCTTTTCTGGTATCCGACCATTCGCATTTTCTGACCCTTGCAAGGCAAGCACGGCTTAGGGAAACAGAGAGCCCTTACCCTGAGCTGCAGCTCATATTACTCACTCCTTCTGACTGCCTGCATGACTCACGCTTCATGCTACCTGTTCAAAATCCTTGAGGACTATTTTGGGGTTAACACCACAGAATATTTCCGGGTTCCCTCTGTTGAGGCACACCAGCTAATCAAGTTTTTGTGCTCTCAATGGCACGGGCCCAGTACTTGGAACGACTACGAGCGTGCTTCCCGTCGCTGCAATTGTCCAAATCGACTGCTTCGTGGGTCAGGGGCACGCGACCACTTAAGGTGTCTTTTAACAGGGTACGTCAAGTGTCTTCGTTGCTTTGGAGAGCTTCATTACTCTGCAACTTTTGGCAGACCGCACACCCCGTCCCCTCGCTAGCCTCCGTGGTAGTCGCCAGACGAAGCGATTACATTTGGTTTGATGTAGAAGAAGGGCGGGTGCTTCTCCCAAACACATGACCAGAAACAAACAAAGACAGAAATCCCGAAGAGAGTGCGGAGGCTCTTGAAAAGGTCATGCGCATGCCTCTTTCCGGGCAAGCACCTTTGGGCCACCCCCCATCGCTGGAAGCAAGTGTTCATGCAGCACTCCGTTTTATACAACAAAGAAAGGGTTTTACGAACGCTTCTATATTATGTTGTATAATAGTTCCAATGTCTTATTAAGAAGCATCACAAACGCAATAAGCCAAGTGCGTCAGCCACCCAAGCGCCGAAAGCAAGCGCCTTGCTGTCCTCCTCCTTGGTCTGATTGAGAGTTTCTAAAACCTCGGAAAGAGCTCTCTAGGTGTGCTGACCATGGCACCATGTCGCACTGCAAATTGCAGGCGGGGGGCGGGGTCATGCGACTAACAGCTGAGTACAAGTGCCAAATAGACAACGATATTCTTGGCACTTTTTCTAAGCTGGACGCGGAGAATGAAGACGAGACATGTGCCCTGCCTGCGAAGCAGCTCAGTGGCTGTTATTTTTTTGTGCAGGGGCAAGGACCCTGTCCCCCTGCTTCGTAATAAGCAACTCGGTGCGGGTAGGGAGGTTGGCATCCAATGGAGCAGAAATCGGCCTGCATGCAGCTAGGTGGCTGCGGATGTCTCTTTTCGGAGCTTGCTAAGCTCTTGCTCCCTGGCATCAACTCAAAGGCAACTGGCTGGGCCACAAGCAAAGAACCCGCTCAAACTGGCTCGAGCCCCTGCGCAACCAAGTCAAGGAGGTGGATGGGCAATCTTTCTCCAAAACAAGGGAAGCGAGTAGACGCTGGCAAAGCCTGGTCAACAACCAACCACGCCAGCCAGGCGCATTCCTCACATCGATTTTCCGCTGACTCCTGGGCGTTCAGCTTCCGCTCGCAAATCAAAAGACATGGCGGGCAACGACTGAAATCGCATCCCATCACCTGAGGTTCAGTTTAGGGGCACCTCCCAATCAATGCACATCCATTTGTCAGTGCTAGTTGATGCACCTATTACTCCCCTGCAGATTCACGTGGATTCCCAAAAGCATCAATGTTTAGAGGAATCTCCTTGTGGGGGACTCCCATTTTGCATTCCATGTGAATTTAGAGGAACTTAAGATTTCTCTTCGCCGAGCCTTAGAAAAGTGTCAATGCTGCCGACCCTTGTGCCCAACGGAAAAAAAAGGGGCAGGCCACTCTCAGAGCCCAGTCTGCATGCCAAGTCTCAGCTCGTCCAGAAGCTCAGCCTCAGCGTGGACGAAATGTGAACTTTCGCAATTTGTCCAGGAAAGTCCAATCGGAACTTCGAGAACAAAAACAAATGCGTAGAGAAATTGTCCTTGATAGAAGAAGGTTCAGATCAATTTTCCGGGGCGTCCCCGGTGGCAACATGGGTGTCCTCAATAGAGGAGGAGGAGGAGGAGGAGGAGGAGGAGGAGGATGAGGAGGAGATTCTCTCGCATCCTTTCCAAGGCTTCATGCCTGTCAAGCCCCCCCCCCCCCCCCGCCTTGGCCAAGTTCGGCTACTCCAGAACTGTTTTTTTTCTGATTCAGTGTTATAGTTAGTCGGGTACCCTATCAAATATCAGATATTTGTGGAGCACACCCCGAAGACAAAAGGTCACCCGTTTTAGCTTTGTTTCGAAGGCAAACCAAAGATAAACCAAAGCTTCTGCGGATTCCCTCAAACCCAGGGCCCGGGCGGTGCCCTGCTGGGTCTCCTCTACCTTCGCCTGGGCCTCCACGATGCGCGCCTCGAGGTCCACCAACACCTTGCTGGCCCGGCTGTCCTGCGAAAGCGGCGAAATCACGTCCAAGTCCGAAGACCGTTTGGGGTGGTTGAAAGGTGGTTGATGGTCCAAATGACGACCCCCCCCCCCCCGCAGCCCAGAAATGCAGCAAGCCTGCTAGCAGCCGTATATAGGTGCAAATAAATCATTGCCGCCCCCCTCCATCAAATATGCAGCGGACCAGTGGGTGCAGAAAGATTGTCCACCACTCCCACCTGCCCCCAAACATGTAGCAGGCTTGCGGAGGCTGATCATGACCCTGCCGGGCTGTGGATGCGAATCGTTGCCCGAACCCCCCCTGCCCTCAAACCCTGTCCCCTTCCTCACTGAAAAGTACTGAAGCACACGTACTTTTGTTGGTCCGTTGGCAACAACAAGAATGATCACACGCACGACAACGAGAACAAGAAAAGAACAAGACCAAGAACACGCAGAAAAAGAATAGGAAAAGAACAAAGAACAAGACGAACAAAGTAACAATCGCATCGCCGGCTTGTCACAGCCCCATTTGCCAGTCCTCTGACAGCTTGATGAGGCGCTGGTGCTCCTGGTAAGAGAGAGAAGCCAAGAAGCCCCACGTGGTTACGGACCCTGCGGACATCATTCACTACTTGTGCAACCATGTCTGCGTCCTTCCCACATGGCACTCACAAAACGGCTCCTTCAAGAGGACAATCATCTCCCTGGAGCTGCCAGTCAGGTTCCATGTTGGGAGGGTACCCTCTTTGCAACAAGCGACTGAGGGCCATTTGTAAATCAGCTTCCACATTTGGAGGAAGGATAGACATGCGACACCAACAAACCACTCTGTCAGTCACCTCTCCGCCCGCCGCTCGGCTCCTTCATTCCCTCCAGCACCACCTTCTCGGCTTCCACGAGCTCTGCCGGGTCTACCTGCACGGTCTGTTCATTCTGCCCCAAACCATACTTAGCTTGATGAACAGAATATCCTACAGGTGCATCATACAGAACTATACATTTAGACAATAACTTTGCAGAAAGATGATGACTTGACACAAACCGTATTAGGTCAGCACTGGGAAGCAACCGCGGTTGCTGACAGCTTCCCAAAACCGAAGCCAAAGAGAATATCAACAGCAAAACAGCTGTGTAAGCCCTACCATACCACTCACTAGTCCAATGTTTTCCTCGTACCGTCCCTTGGGCTTGCACCTCAGTGTCTGCCAGGGGTCGGATCTCGTTGGCACACTGCTCCAGTTGTGCCTGCAAGCGATTGTGGTGGGACATAGGAAACCCTAACGGACACAAGCCCCAACAAAAATTCAACAATTACAATCCAGGCACCGAGAAAACTAACCCCTCAACAAGAAAAACAGTGATAGTCCCCTGCCTGCCTGCCTGCCTGCCTGCCTGCCTGCCTGTACATGGAACGCGGAAGAATCTGGCAAAACAAAACATGGATGTTGACGGATAGTCGCCGCATACACACCTGGTTACATGAACATGTTGGTCAACACGCATGTGCGCAGCCCCTCTTTCACGCATCACCTGTTCCGCAGATTTCGCCTCCATGACCACGGCCGCCAGGCCCGGCATCTCCGCATTTGTGGGCACTGAGGCGCCGCCCATGAGCAGCTCCTGACCAACAGGTAGACGGGCAAGTTCAAACAGACCAGGATTAGAACACTTATACAGAGGGTCCTCGAAAGCCTTTGGACACCACTTTGGGGGCGGGTGCAAACACACGGCATGCAACCCACAACGCACACACGCACACAAGAGAGAACAGAACACACAGCACACGAAGCACACACGACACGATGCACGCCACACCATACAACACACTATATGCCACACCATACGCTGCACCATGCGCCACACCGCACGCCACACCACCACCACGTTTCTCAAAATGTGTACGACATTGTGCCTGTGATACCTCGTTGCCTTACCTATAACATCAAAATGTTGCCTTACAAGTCGATTCTTAATTGCCGCAATCTACCGTGTACTTTTAGTCAGCTGTTTGATTGCTTCGATGGTGTCTAGTAGGCTCAGATATGAACAGAAGTGGCTGTGCTGCTACTGATCACTCATGTTGAGTCTCTCTCGGTGTTTCTAGGAGTTATTTGATTCAGAATGAAACTCGTGCCCTCTTATTCAATCCCTTCTGGAGTTTGCAGAGCCTTCAAAAACAAAGCTGGAAGCCTCTGAAGAGCAACTCTTCAGTTGCCTGTGAATATAGACTAAAAGGTTCGAGTGTTGCAACCACATAGCAGGGAACTGGAGGCTCCCAGTCCCACGCATGGCAAAAAGAGTCCAAGGAGTCCAAGGAAGCAGCTTTCTTTGTCGACTCTCACACAGCCAGGACTTTGTCCGCCTTTGTTCAAGCGTTGCCCTTGGGATCAGTTTGAACTGTCTATTGGTCTGGATTGGAAAAAGTCGAGAGGAATCACATGTGTTTTGCTGTTTGAGTCAAAAAGAATGACACGCGTCAACGAGTCAACGACCTCCTGGGTTGACACGGCCATTGGCATCGTCATCGCGCCTTCACGGCGCCGCGGAACTTGTTCTTGATGGCCAAGGAGATGGCCATGGCGCCATCGCCTGTCGCATGGCGCATAGGTCAGCAGGGCCGAAAGGGGGCGATGGGGGTCCAAGGCGGTCCAAAGTCCGAACAGGGGCTCCATATTCTGGTCAACACCTTCAGCTCACCAAACCTCGCAAGAATCCTACAGTTGCCTGCCAAGCGGGTCCAAGCAGGTCAATAGCCCTTGATAGGGTCTCAATAGGGACTACTTCGCGGGCCCGGGCCTTGGGTTCTTGAACACTATTCTGCAAGGAAGAGAGACTGTCTCCAAATTAGTGACCCTCCAAAATAATAAATGGCAATAGATTACTTTGAGCGCCACCTGTTTGAGGGATCCCGGAGTTGCATCCCCCGAGATGATAATCAATACACCGATAAAGGTAGAGATGGGATTGGAAAAAAACGTGGATGTACTGAGAAGCCCAATGAGAAAAGGCGGGGACCCCTATATTTGTTTGTTTGATGTTAAGGGGAAGCCTCTTCCAATAAAACAGACAACAAGGGTGCCACTGGGCAACTGGATTTTACTTTGTGGCTCCTTTGCAAACCAAAATGGTTCCAGGATCTCCTGCAGCTGACGGCAATTACTTCTGCCTCAAACCAGTGGAGCCTGTCAACAGGACTGCAAACTTCAAGGTCCTCATGTCAGTGCATGTTTGTGAACAGTTCAGGTCACAAGGCACTGCGGTGCCAGCCCATTAGCTATGGATGGCGCATGACTCACTCAGGCACACATTATGTATGCAAGCAATCTTCAGATAGATTCGGGTGGCTGGTGAAAGGACGTGACTCACCTCAAGCATCCCATCCGACAATTGAAATTCTGGCATTGCCGACGGTCAAGTTTGCATCACCTGTGCACCCCCAATTTACCCGGCCCCCTTTTTTTATTCCCTTGACAAGATTATTTGGACGGCTCACCTGCCTTCAGCTGCAGCCGAGACACTATCGGGCTTCGTCACATCAGCTCGCATAGAGACCATGAGCTTGATCGTCTCAGCACAGTCGTTCCCTGGGCTCTGATTGGCATTGGCGCTGGCTTGCACTTGCCAAAATCCTTGAAGCATTAAAAAGGCTGGGTGCAAATGAACGTTATTCTAAATCATTGTGCGGGCCAGAGACACTAACAAATTCCTTTCGCGAGGGCCTACGCGGGGCTTCCGCGGCTGCGAGGGTAGCTTACGCGAGTGGTGTCTACATAGCAAACGCCTACGCGGCGCTTACGCGGATTGAGTTTTTTTGCGGATGCTATTTTTCGTGTGTTTTTGCTTACGCGAACACGGCGAAACCACAAAAGCAGAGCTTTTCAACCGCGCGGAAGACAATCCGCACAAGCTGCAGGACAAGACACGTCACCCGAGAGCTGCAGCAACCTCACGCCGACGCCTGGAAGTAAGTTCGAATCATGGCTTGGGCTTGGGCGGCGTGGGCCGGGCTGGCTGGAGCTGGGGCGAGGCACCCGGCCCTTACGCGGAGCTTGCGCGCAGCTTACGCGGAGCTTACGTGAATCTCGCCTGGCATTTTCAGATTCCGTGTGCATTTTGGCTGCTTCTTTGTTGCGCTACTTGTGAACTAGCTTCTCATTACAATAGCCATGCCATGCTACATAAGCATCCAAAAATGCTACCTGAGTTTAGAACAGTCATGCCACCGACTGTGCAGCATGTCAAGGCGCCACCGCACATGCGAATCTCGCAGGTTGAGGGAGCCGCAGCCATGTTACCCACAAAGCTTTCTAGATTGGACTTTGCCATTGTTCTGCATCATGTTTGCCACATTCGGTAGTGGAAACGCAACAACTTCGTAGAAGGCGTCCAAGGCGGCTACGCGAACCTTTCGCGACTGGGCAAGTGGTAAAACCCTTCCGCGAACCCTTACGCGGCCTTCCGTGACCAGAGCAAGAACAGCATTTTCAAATCCATATCTCCTTACGAATACTGTTCATTCAATTGCAGAGTATTTAGAACGCTGCTCAAATGCAAACTTTGACCCAGAACGCTTTCGGCTTGCTGAAAGCTCTTTTTGTGATTCGGGCACGAGCCTGTGCCCAGGCAATGGGTAAGTTGGGGTAAACAAGCCACAAAAGAAAGGTTCCCCAAAAGCAAACCAATCCCCGGTCCCAAAGATCAGGGTTTCCCACACACCAGAGAACAACAACCAAAAGGGAAAAACCAAAACAAGTAAACAAGTGCCCGCAACCTTGATCGACGATGAACCGCACGGGCGGACCCCACCAATCTGCCCCGGGCCGATGTCTCTTTCTCCACCGACACGAAGGTGATCGACGCGGGGACCCGGCGACGCTCATCCGAGGCGCGACGGACCCGCAAACTTGAGCCAAACATCACAGGTCGGTCACTACCGCGACGGCCCTGATGATGAAGTTAACCATGGCTAATCACACCCCCCTCACGAGGAGTCCGTCATTTGACGGGCGGAGCGTGCCATTTACTGATAGGATTTAACTGCTCGCATGTGTCCGCAAACAGCTGGACACTACCGCCGTCAGCGGTGGAACAAACCCACAAAGGCAGTTGCGCGACATCCCGGGCATTAAATTCCCGCCACCACCCCGAATTAATCGGGGTAACGCTGTCCAACACACCTTGTGGAAGAGTCCACATGACGGCACTAGGCCACAACTGTTTGCATCAACAATGCAAGAAGTTTAATTCTTATCAGAAGCCATGAAATAAAGGATAACGTATGTCCATTATAGTACCCTCGCCTATCGGCAAGAGGTACTCCTGATCATGCGTACCTGAAAAATGCTTGAATTCCGGGGAGTATCCCCCCATCAGTTTGCTTCCCCTCTCACTCACACTACTTCATGATGAGCACAACCAGCAGCCGGGCAGCGGTACGGAAGAGACATGATCTCCGCGCCTCAGCGGTTCGGGAGGAACATCACCATCTCCGCACCGCGCTGACCATTGGAGAATGGACGCAAGCCTATCGGCCGCAATCCTCGTGACTCAGCCTATCGGCCATCGTCACGTCTCCTCCGGTCACGTCCGCCCCGCGCACGGTCCCTATCACGATCCCTCTCGGATCTCCTGCGATCATCTCGCCTTCGATCCCGCTCCCGATCGTGTGATTCATCATCACGACGATCTCGAGCATCGTCCCTCCTCCGGTCACGATCTTCGTCGCGCCGCGGACGATACCTTCGCCTTCTCGATTCTCGAGAATCCCTGGTGTCCACTGTCCTAACGGACCTCCGAGAAGGAGTACGGGATACATCCGAATCTCGACGTCCTCTCCCGATGCGAGAGCTCGACACTATCTGGTTAAGAGCCTCCAACGCCGAAGCATTCTCACCATTCCTGATGAACTCCCTGACCTGCTTATTCAGCACCCTATCGGGTGACATCGTCAGGAAAGCGTTCACCACCGAACTCTCCGGCAACACCAGGAAGTGACCCTCCACCGAGCTCGCAGCTGCTCGCTCCGCCGACTGCAACCTGATCTCACCCCCTTCAGGCTTCTTTGCCATCGCCTTGGAGGCCGTCAAAGGCGCTACCGCGTCCGTTGCCGAAGACCTGCCAAGCGCGGAGTGAAGATCATCTCCACTAGCTTCTCTCGCTGCCGCACCTGGTCTGCTGTCGACGTCATCAGGCCTTGTTGACGCCTCCCGCTTTGTCGACTCCTTCACAGTCTCATCGGGATCCCAACGGGATTTCCTTTCTCTCCTCTGCCCTTCGGCCGACCCCCGGCTACCGCCAGGAGCGGCATCTCCGCTTATCTTCTCCTTCTTGACCTCAACCTTCGGTTCGGCCTGCTTCGTCTCCTTAGCCTCAGCCTTCGGAGCCGGAGTACTCTTCGCCTCAGATACTGAAGCGGCCTTCCCTTTTGGCTCGGCTTTTGGAACCTTCGCACTCGGCCGGGCTCCTCCAACCGCTATCGCGACCCAAGTCTTTTTCGGTTGAGCCACAGCTGCATCAACCTCCATCGGAGCCGGCCCAGCATCAGCTTTTGCTTTTGCCTGTGAGACAGATGGACTATCGCCCTTACCAGACCCTTTTCCTGGCATTTCACCTGACTTTGGTGGTGGGCCGGAAGGACTACCGCCCTTACCGCCCTTTTCCCCCTTCTTCCCTTTTCCTTTTCCGCCCTTGACGATCGGCTCCTGCTTAGGACCAGGACCCTGCGCAGCATGATGCACCGATTGAAGCCCTTCGATGTTCACGTCCAATGGCTCCGGTTGACGACCATCAAGAACCGTCCTCACCCTTTCGTCGCTAACGTAGACGAATGGGTCGCGGAAGGGGGCGGGAGGCTCCGACTGCCCGGCACTGATAGCCTTCTGCACCTTGGCTATCGCCTCCTTCAATCTCTTCTTCTCATCGTACCCTGTCTCTGACACCATGTACTTCCTGAGATCCGATATCAACGCATGGCTGGCCAGGATGTCCACGTCCTTCCGATGGGTCGGATATAATGGAGTCAGATGCCCCGCCGCGGAGCCAATCACGTACGCCATCGGGATATAGAAGGACAAGTACGTGTCATGGCGAGCGAACTTCCTAACGGAAGTCGTCATACGCCTACCCCACTGAGCAGCATGCACCGGGTTAGCTCGGAAGTACTCAGTGACCGAATCAAATCTATCGACTTGGTTGGTCTTAATCAGGTGCTTCGCCACCCACTTCTCCACGAACGCATCCGAGGCCGAAATCCCCGACACATAGGAGAATTGGAAGAGCACCTTCGCCAGCTCATCCCACGCCGTATCGACTCCTCCCTTGTCCTCACCAAGATAAGGGGGCAGTCTGATGCCGCTCTGCACCGTCATCCTCAGGTCAGACGCCATTGAATAGGAAATCAAGTTCCTCTTGATAACTCCGACCACTTCGGATGGGATCCTCTTGGGCTTGAACTGCCTCATGCTCCTCACCCACTCCGGGACGATGTGGCATCTCTCGAAGTCACTTTCGTCCGCGTTTGGGATGAAGTTCGGGTAGAAGACCGGGAGCGCACACCCAGGGCACAAGTGCATCCCATTT